AAATGGGGGACGCTAAATTGACCAATCAGAGCGCGCGCTTTACTTTGGTTATGTTATAATTGGTGACAAGAACAGTGAGGACGATAAGGGTAACATAATATTTTAGGGCAGAGAAAAGCGCGCGCGGGTGGCGCGAAAAAGAAGGTCGCGTGAGCACTGGAGATGAGGCGGGAAAATAAGAATATAGACATAGAGGCAAGACCGATACAACGTAGATAAGTTTTAAAACGGAGCACTATATTGTTTTTGACGAGATTTTGTACGAATTAAGTAAAATTAATTCTGTATAGAAGATGAAGATATGTAGGGAAGTTGTTGACGTCCATGGAAAAGCTTTTTAAGGAGGCGGTAAGTAATCGGCTGTAATTAAAATATAAACCATCTGTAGCTGTATTTTTGTAGTATCTTTGTTTTTATACCTACTCTTTATTATTCAACTTCCTGATTTCTGTAAACCTGTATACTCTCTCTAATTAATTTCCTGATTTCTGTAAACTTGTCTACCAACTTTTTTTCTTAGTTAAGACATGACCCACCTCGATTAGCTAGCTACCTGTGGGCATGTCCAATTTGTTAAAATAGTCATTAGAAATTAGAATAAATAAAGGTTGTTTTTGTTGTTGTTGTAGCTACGACGGACCTTTCTTGAAGTCACACGTAGGGAGAAATAAGAAGAAAGAAGAATGGAATCAGTCGATACACCGGTACATGTTGGTTTATAACTTCATTCTTAAATTGGTTCAATGTACATATCTTACATGATGGTTGCTTTGACTTAAAAAGATCATAAGGTTCAATTTGTCAAGATTCCTACCCTCAGATACCTTACATAGCTGTTGGGACTTTTTAGTTCACGGAGCTGTTGCGGGAACAGAAAAAAGACTTTCATGTGTGGATCGGATTTTGTTATTTAGGTGATGCTTAGCATCTGCGTACCACGAGGTTGTATCCCGTCTTCTACGGCAAAAATGCTATGATAGAAGGATTGTTAATTTGCCCGAAATCAGTTATTTTTAAAGAAATTTCTCTCTTTTTAACACGACAGTTTTCATTCATAAACCGTTTCATTTTATGAAACCGTTATATTAATTAAATTTTTGGCAATTTCAAGCTGTCAGTGGGTTTGCTACTGGAGACGGTTCCTTTGTCCCGACCAACGTCTACGTTAATTTTCGGAAGTTTTGCATTAATAGGAGGTAAGGTGGAGTTGTTTTTCCCTTGCTCAGAGACAGGAACGTTGTATACGATGCGGTGAATTGTATTCGCCCGAGCTCTCCCCTCGCTATCGCTCCCTTCACTTCTTTTGCCATAGCTTCTTCCTTTATTTTCACCTTTTCCTTTTTTCTTTTGATAACCGTCCGACGGGTTTAACGCTTTCACTGCGTTTTCAACCGTTGGAAGCCCGAAAGTCCACGTGAAATATTCAGACTCATGTGACAATTTTCGCCGCAAAATCATTGGCACGTTATTTTGCGTGCAGTTTATATGCGGCAACGAGAACTTTTTCTCAAGCTGGATAGCTGTAGCACCTCTGTTTCCGGGATTTGTTGCCTTCATTTCTTTCGCGATGTCGTCGATACTTTTGTTGTCTCGCTGTCGCTGTTTTGCTTCTTTCGCCAGACTGATTTGTTCCCGTTTGATTCGAAACAATTCCTTCCGTAGCTCTCGTTCCTCTTGCTTGTAAGAGATGTAGGTTTGTAATTTCGAGTAGTCAAGATCTTTCTTGAGAAGTGACAATTTTTTTTCTCCCTCGTGGCTAATTACCAAAGCTTTCTCATAAACGGATTGCCTTTCTTTTCCGGAATTGTCACCAGAAGGCATTATTCCAGCTGGCGTATTCTAGACGGTCAACAACTGCGTGGTCGCTTTCAACGGCCGGAGGATAGCACTATGCCAGTTTGATATTTCATTTACGTGTTGCTTTCACTTTGTATAATTGTCTTACATACTAGCCAAGATAAGTCATACCCACAGCTGAGTATCTTGCAACTGTAGCTAAACAGTAAAATGATTCCGTCGAGGAAGATATTTGCAGAGATCAGCTGCAAGTGCACACGCAGTACCTACTCAGTCTTTATGTTTGTGTAAATAGCTCTCTCTTGATGCTTGCATACTTCATTATCCTTTGTTTCATTGTCTGTTTATGTCATTGTTTTGACGATTTTGGATTGTTCAGCGATTGGAAGCAATTCTGGGCACCATAATCTCGCTAACACGCGCTACTTGCCTTCATTTCCTTCCGTTCAATTGAACACAGACCCTTCTACATCGTTCATTTAGTAGTTATTCACTCTTCTTGCTTGCTGAACACAATTGATTTCAGCAGCTGTACCTGTATTTGCTCGCTGTTTTCGTTTGCTCTATAAAGTCTAATTCAACAAAAGAAAATAACTTCTCGGTTTGAAAGGCAAATAGTACAATTAACCAAAGCTTTCATTGTCTTCGCCATCTTGAATTGGAATAATGTGAAGTCGGAATCTTTTAGAGGATTACGTCGTCCGGTTGTGTTATAATCAACACGAGAAACTGAAATCGTAAGAAATCATCCCTACCAGTTAATTAGACTGGTGCTAAAGGTTGTTGGAAAAGAACGCAATACTTCGTATTTTCCTACTATGATTTTTTAACCTCAGAAAATTCTTTCTTCATTTAGAGCCCTTAAAAATTGCTAAAGATGATGATAAACAATAACAAAAAGTCAGTAAAGCAGATAAAAGCAAATTGGTTTTCCAGATTTTGTCTATTGTTTAAAGTTTTTGAACCAATGATACACTTGTCCAAACAGTAAGCTTTCATGAACCTGAAATTCCATTAAATATAGAGTGACACGAATAAATTTATAACTTAAAGCCCTTTGTCTCAACAAAACCCCCCAAAAATAGTTCTCAACGTATTCTCGATCGTGATTGGGATGTTGTCTCAAAAATCCTCATTAACGTCCTCTTTTATTCAATCATGTATCAATATAACTGGAAAGAAGTACGGGTATTCTTTATCTAAAGATTTTGATATAGATATATCATCCTTTAATCTCATTTATTAAGATTCAATGAAGCATTAGTTTATGAAAGAGCTAGCTTTCCAGACAGCTTTTAGCCGAATTCATGCAACCTTACACATATGATGATATTTCAACGAAGAACTGAAAGTTGTATGCAAACCACAACTCATGGTCCGTAATGCACTAGCGTGCTTCAAAGTGCATATGACACGAAATTTTTTTCTCTTGTTTCTTGTAGTTGGATATCTATAGAAGACGTTTCGAAGCCTTAAAAGTGCTGGAAAATTCTAAAAAGCATTGATTTTGCTTTCAAAATACACGCAATTTGCCTTCAAATTTGTCCCGGTCATCGCGCGGCCAAAATCGCACGTGACGTCACATTGTGTGTCCAGATTCTTCGAAGTCAATGGAACTTTCAGAAGAGTCGGACTCAAAGGAATCATTAGAATCACTCGACATCTTTGCCTTTCAATGCACTATCTATCTACTACGAAGTACTGCAGAATCCTCTTAGCGACAACAAACCTTCGCGGCAAAGGTACACAATGTGACGTCATGAATAACTTCTACGGTGATAAACTAGGTCCCAGTCTCCGGGACAAATTTGAAGGCAAATTGCACGTATTTTGAAAGCAAAAAAAAAATGTTTTTTACATTTTTCCAGCTCTTTTAAAGCTTCGAAACGTTTTCTATAGATATCCAACTACAAGAAACAAGAGAAAAAAATTTCGTGTCATATGCACCTTAAACGAGTCAATATTTTCCTTTATTCTTTACTTTTTACAGTTATGAGCGAGTCTTGTTTGTAAATTGTTATGTATATTGCGGAATAGTTGACTTGTAACTATGGCTACCGTAAACACCGATTGAGCAAAGATGAGCTGAACACAAAGAGAACGTGTTCACAAAGCTTACAAGTTCTCTTCTGTTAATCTCATTTAAGCCTTCATTAAGTCGTTTTTCATCAGTTTGATACTCCTTTGGGAATCACTTATGCTTGCTTCATTTGAATTTATTGGTCCGAGGGTAAACTCATTATTTAGCAAGAGGCCGTATTCAAAACAAAACTGAACTGGTGCAGTATTTCAAAGATTACTAAGATTTCACGAACGCTGAAAATTTACAAAAAAATCTATATGTAGACCCGGGCTATGTCTTTAAAATCGTCATCTGGCACCGGTTTGGCCCTTGCGTCATTTGCTTTAATTTGGTATTCTCAACGAAGCCATCAACAACGGAGCTAGACAAAAAAAGTTTAAAGAAGTCACAGCTTAATGAAGTCCGTAGAACATCCGTACAAGAGCAATTTGAAAGTTATATCCTATAGCAAACATAAAGTTTGTTATTGCTTTATAAAAACTTCTGAAGTGCGCACGGAAAAATAAATCACAGAACTGTACGAACAGTACTTGAAGAATATTGTTCTGATTGAAAACTACGTTATAGTTTGACGATGGCTTCTCGAGATACAGCTTTACAGAGCTCAATTGCCTTTCTTCAAATGCAAAAACATGCCAGTTTAAAGAGATCCACCTCGATGAGCGAAGATGTGTTCCGAATTTATCGTCAGACAGGCCGACGAATTGCTCTGATTCAGCAACAAGTGGAGAGGGAGCGATGCTCTTACTTAAAGGAGTCCTACACCGAGAAAAACCAACTGTATAAAGAACTAGCGCATATTTTCCATTCCAGAAAGGCGATAATGGCCCAACAAGGAATAGATGTTTTATCCTCGACACCCGCTCCACAAAAGAAACATTCACAAGCTAGTTTTGGGGAGAAATCTATGGAGGCAGTTCATGGCTACGCTCACAAATGCAAGTCTGTGAAGGAACTTCGTTCTATTAATGTTAATGTATTGAAAAGATGCGAATGTTGTCGCCGCAGGGCATTTCGAGCTATCGAAGAAAATGATGACGACGAAGATGTTTTTGATGAGGAAGCTTTCCGATACGAGAGTCAGTTACAAACACTAGATTCCGAGTCAAGCGACACGGCGAAAACCAAAGCTGGCAGAAAGATAAGCCAGAGATCTAGGTCTTCAAACGTAAAGAATGAACGCATAGTGGGTAAAAGGAAGACTGCCCTGGTGCAATTTAGTAGGTACGACGATATTCGAATGCCATCCGCCACTCAGAGAGTTCAGGCAGGAATATGGGCTTTGAAAAAGCAGAATAGTCGGCCTAATAATCAGAGGAAACAAAGTAAGACTGTGCGTTTTAGAGGAAATGATTCGACGGTGGAAAGTCCTTCGGTTGAAAGGAAGACTTCATCTGATACTCCTGCTTCGACTACAAGACCAGCCCTTCAATCTCGAGCAAGTATAAAAGTGGCAAGTCAGAATAGAAAAGCAGACAAACTACACCTTGATGGTCACGCGTGGTCCACCCATGTTCAAGACATCCATGAGAAAAAGATCAACAATAACAATGCAATTACCGGCTTGTCGAAGGCTTATTACGCGTTTAGAAAGCTCCTTAACAAGATGGAGGAAGAGCATCAGGCACAAGGAGCGAAAGAGAAGGAAATGAGGCCCGAAAGTCGAATGGAATTACCAGGCAGTCGACCTGCTTCGAACATGTCGAGGAGCGATTCAAGATGGGTGCCTTTGCGTCGAAGTTCGGACACGCTTTCTGTTCGTTTGAACACCTGGACAACGGGAAATCTCGAGCCCACCTCCAGGAACAGCTTCGAGGAAAATTGCGTGGAGGAACTGGAAAAAGAAGACGAGAGTTTGAACATTGGAGAGGATGAGAAAGATGATAGTTCCTTACATGAGGTGTACATTCTTCAAAAACGTTAGCTGGTAAATGAAAAAATTGGAACAGAGACTTAAATTATAACTGGATACCGGTCAAGGGACACTTACGAAACGTGAAACGCATTTGACACTCCTGATCATCGAAGCAAGATATCTTACTTTGAGATTATTAAGTAATTATCGGAATTTTAAATCTTTCTTTTCGAAGAGTTTTATTCGTAGATTTTTCAGGCCATTTAGATGCCTAGTGAGGAACTTTTAAAACAATGACGAATAGTTAAATTCATTCAGAAGAGAATTAAAATCTTGCAATTAGTTCCTTATCCGAAATATCTTTAGACACAGTCAAACGCATCTGTACCTAAAGCCTGGTCTCAGTGCAAGCAAAGCAGGCTCATGTTCATTAAAGTTAAGAGGGAACCTATTTGAACTTCCCTTTTCCACATTCATTGTTATCAACTAATGCTACCATCTTTTTGCTTAGACGAACAATGGTACCCACTTTCGGGATATGTGTCTTCGCGTTCGTACCAACAAGATTGTCATCATGGTAACCATAGACTTAAGTTAGTCAAAATAAGTTCTTCTTTGACTCCAAGAGGTCATGACCTTTGAAAATATTTACGTGACAATGGAGTTTTCGAAGTCAGTTTTAACTTCGAAGCGTCTAGATATTCTGCCTCATCACTATATGATGTCTTTCTAGGTCTTCTTCAATTTGTCTCTATAGCTATGGAAATAGTTCGAAGTCCGATCCCCTTCCTCACTGATTAGATTCTGAATGAACTGTTCCCCAATTGACTTATCGCAATATTCAAGACTTAACTTAAGCCTCGGGATTGTGAACCGTTTTCCAGGCTCCATGGCCAACGTGCAGCTGTTTCTGGATCACGGGCTTATATGAAAGAATTAAAATAAAAACAGTCTTAATCTGTTCCAGCGGCATACAATCATCTACTCGGAAGACGTCAAGTCACAAACCCAGAGGTTAATCTAGGGCGCCTGCATGACGGTTACTCTCATGTTTCCGGCCCCGTGCTTATTGGAAAGTTAGGTGTGGCAAGCCCATTCATTTAACTGATACTTCCCAAAGTTAGAAAAGGTTTGAAATACTCGAAAATCTAGAAGAACTTGAATTACTTCTTGACCTATTTAGGTCCCGATAATCATCGTCGTCGTCGTCATCGTCATCATCTATGTTCAGAGTTCTCCTGTGTAGTCCGGTTCGCCATCTCGACGTGTCCCGACAGCTGGTTGGTCTCGACTTCATTCCTACCGAACTCCAACTCCCCCTCCGTCCTCTTGGGGCATCCTCTTCTGGCACGCGCTGGTAGCCAAAGGACCTATCTTGTTCCCGAGGAAAACTACCTCTTTTCAACGCCGTTTGACCTATGTCGCGCACATTTTTAAGATTGAACTCTGACTTAGCAGTTTGATGAGCATTGTTGAAATTCGTTAAGGTCTCCTGATGAATTTGGACAAAATCTCGCCCGCTCCCTGTATGATCACTTGACATTCTCCACACAGGAATCCTTGGGAGTTTTGATGAGGGCAGAACTGGAAAGTGCTGGCTGCCCGCCATTGAACTTCTTCTTGCGGAATCATACACTGGTCCAACCGAAGCTCTTCTCGACAATATTGCATGACCAATCAGATTTCCGTGGCATGAATGGCGTGTTTTTTCTCCTTGATTTCTAAATCCTTGATCAATCTCTGCAAAGGCTCCTGAATTCGCGCCGGCTGTTAGTCCGTCAAGCTCGTTTAGTTGGACTACAACTTTTTCGTATCTTGTTTCAAAAGCTGAAACTAGCTCCCCCAAGGTTTTGTGTCTGTCATCCATCTGTTAAAAGTTCCCACTCATAAAGAAATAAACTCACTCGTTTCAAAATCGTTGCAAAAACTAAGAAACACGAGATTGAAGACATGCAGTGGTCAGAAATTTATAGCTTTTTCCCATACAGACCAAGACATTTCAGTTAATTGATAAAATACCATTGGTATTGATTTTTAAGCAGATTCAATATCATTGTTAAGGTCTACTGACCCATCAACCTTTTATCCTTGTGGCAGATTTTGGATTTATAGGCTTAACTACCTGGTTTTACCGGACAGCGAACAAAAGGAAAAAATGAATAACCAGTCATCTGTGCCAAGTGCGCTCATATTTTCCACCGATGTCAATTAATTAAACGAAAGCGCACGTACAAGTTTTATCTACGATGTATGTTTTGGCAAATTGAACATTATTATAAATCCCATAGTTGGAGTGATCTGGTTCTAAAAAAAATTATTTTTAAAGGCGCATTGTAGATTAAATCAAGACAGTACTCGAACGTAGACATGCTGTCAGTTTTACTTCATCGCTTCATCGCGCAATTAATATTCATCCCGCCTATTCGAAACCTCCCTCTTTGATAATAATTTGCGAAACCTTTGAAAGGAGTTTTGAAATCGTATTTATAGAAATTAAAGAAAACTGAGGCAGTTCTCATGTAATATAGGCTCAAATTTGTAGCCTATATTACATGAGAGTGTAAATTAGGAATAAATTACGCTTTTAGCGTTCTCCTGAGGTCTCAAAACACCAGTCGAGATCTTATAAAAGCAGGGCTTTCTTTCGTGATTGACGATGATTTCGTTGAAACAGTTTGCCTCTGCATATTGTTGTATACCAAATTCTCCTCGAAGTACTTTTGAATAGTGTAAAATCAATCTTCACACGTTTTCAGACTTACATTGAGAAATGACTCGATTGATAGCCCTGTAACAGTTTGAATCTGACAAACATTATAATCCGTTTCAACCGATTAGTGGAATGAATTTATATAAAATAACATAAACCCTCTAACCCATTAAGATTGACCAGCATCTGACTTCTCCGTACAATATCACCCCTAAATCAAACTTTCAAGCCGCAAGAATATAGAAAAGTATCAGCAACTAAAGTTGGCTTGTTAGCTCAGTTGGTTGAGCGCTGCGCCGGTATCGCACAGGTTATGGGTTCAAATCCCGTACGGGCCTGAATCTTTTCCCACTTACTAGATAGGTGGGGTGTATTACTGCGAGGGACGCTTTCATGCAAAGCAGCTCTCGATCGTTGAGCAAATTCTCCTTGTCAGCACCTTAGGAAATGTATAGAGAACATTATGGGGAATTTTCACACTGATGTGAGTTTTTAAAGGGCGAAAGTGCGAAAGTGCGCGGTGTCAAAATTTTTCAAACTTTTGGTTAGGATTTTAGCTGGACAATAAGTCAAGCTTTCGCTCCTTATATGTCCTTATCTATTGTTTGAAGGAAAAGGGTTTTTTTGTTCGCAAGACAAAGGTTAGTAATCACCGACGCGTAGCCAGCTCACCGAGCGCGAAATTTAAATTTCTTCGGAAGCGATTAGTGTTACAAACACAGCCTTTGTGGGGGAGGTTGTGGTAATGATTGTTGCAGCCTAGACACATCTAAAAGGGGTGGGGTGGGGAAGTTTGTGTCAAGAAGAGCGAGGTCTGGACGATAAGTAAGCGAAAACTTACGCTTTAATAAAACTCATTTGTGAAAAAGAGTGAATTGATGTATTCATGACAAAGTTTGGTAGCATGCGCTTCACTGCACTAGTATCGCAGAGGTCAGTGGTTCGAATCCCGTACAGGCCTGAAATTTTTTTCAGGTCTGATTTTCACTATTGCTCAAATAGTGCTTTACTGCGAAGGATCGTTCTCATATACGTCTCATAACCGCAGTTCACACATATGTTTCATATGTTTGTTGTTGTTTGATTTATCATCTACGGGTTTATATCGAATTAATTTGATGGCCTGCTCCCAGTTGGCTTGTTAGCTCAATTGGTAGAGCGCTGCACTAGTATCGCAGAGGTCAGTGGTTCGAATCCCGTACAGGCCTGAAATTTTTTTCAGGTCTGATTTTCACTATTGCTCAAATAGTGCTTTACTGCGAAGGATCGTTCTCATATACGTCTCATAACCGCAGTTCACACATATGTTTCATATGTTTGTTGTTGTTTGATTTATCATCTACGGGTTTATATCGAATTAATTTGATGGCCTGCTCCCAGTTGGCTTGTTAGCTCAATTGGTAGAGCGCTGCACTAGTATCGCAGAGGTCAGTGGTTCGAATCCCGTACAGGCCTGAAATTTTTTTCAGGTCTGATTTTCACTATTGCTCAAATAGTGCTTTACTGCGAAGGATCGTTCTCATATACGTCTCATAACCGCAGTTCACACATATGTTTCATATGTTTGTTGTTGTTTGATTTATCATCTACGGGTTTATATCGAATTAATTTGATGGCCTGCTCCCAGTTGGCTTGTTAGCTCAATTGGTAGAGCGCTGCACTAGTATCGCAGAGGTCAGTGGTTCGAATCCCGTACAGGCCTGAAATTTTTTTCAGGTCTGATTTTCACTATTGCTCAAATAGTGCTTTACTGCGAAGGATCGTTCTCATATACGTCTCATAACCGCAGTTCACACATATGTTTCATATGTTTGTTGTTGTTTGATTTATCATCTACGGGTTTATATCGAATTAATTTGATGGCCTGCTCCCAGTTGGCTTGTTAGCTCAATTGGTAGAGCGCTGCACTAGTATCGCAGAGGTCAGTGGTTCGAATCCCGTACAGGCCTGAAATTTTTTTCAGGTCTGATTTTCACTATTGCTCAAATAGTGCTTTACTGCGAAGGATCGTCCTGATATACGTCTCATAACCGCAGTTCACACATATGTTTCATATGTTTGTTGTTGTTTAAATGAAATCAGTTCTACAAATTGGATCAGTTTGTTCGCCAAAATTTCTAGTTCAAATTTATTCGTGAAACTTCGTTCAATCATTGTCATCGTTTTGTACAAATGAATTCCTTCTCCCAATTTTCGGAAGTAAACTTTGTCTATTTTGTGATTGATCTCCAACTGTAGGAAATCCTACGAAACTACTTCGACGAGTTTGAAAATAAGGGTAAAGTCTGTCGTCTTCATCATATATGTCCAGGCTCCTTTTGTGTGCCTTCACGCGCCAAACGGACGGGGTTTCGGGAAATTTCGAACAAGATGATCTTCTTTGCTTCGTTTTAGGAACAACTGTAGTTTTTGACGGAGCTGTACTGCCTTGCGCACCAAATGAGGACCGACGCCTCTTACT